GCGTGGATATACGGCTTAAACACACGCGTGACTTTTGTGTCAGGCGTGACCAGCCGAAATTATCAGGGAAACTGGAAACTGGATTTCCCGGATGGCCATGAGACGTCATAAAGATATAACACGGCGCGCTGGGGAAGGAGCTGAATATAGCTTGTTCAAGGATTTCTGCTTGGCAATATGCAGCTGCAGCTCCTGTCGTAACCTACCTACCTTCCCTACCTTACCTTCTCGTCGTTTCCTCACCTTCTTGTTGTTTCGCACTCTACGTCTCTCAACGTTGCCTCGAGGGCCACGAGGTGGTCGATTTAAACAAGGAGACCGAGTACTCCGAGTCACGGCAACGTGATTTGATTTTTGTTAACCGAACAGACAATATAATTAGAATCACGCGCGCGACCCTTTTTTTCCTCTGTTTCTTCTCTTAAAATAATTCAATAATTTCAGCGTCCCATTTTCCACTTGAGCTATTTTCTATTCTTTCGCACGTACGACCACTTTCTTCTTCCGCCAGATAATCCGCGCGCTTTCACGTGATAATCACGCGATAGTCAACTTCGTCAATGAGCGAATAATATAATTATAAATTATTTTATTATGCAAATGTTAATTAAATTTAAAAAAAATTGATTGCGTATGTAGCGCTTTAGATTATTAATTTAAAATAATTAATACATACACATTTTTTTAATGTGATAAAGACATGAATATTCGATCGAATCTTAGAAAGTTGTATATTTATGTTTTTTTTTAAATTTGCATTTAAAATCTGCAATTTCTTTTGAAGACACACGCAAAGTTATATATTTTCCAGTATTTATATTACAATTTATATTACAATTCAAAATGTAAAATCCGATTATCTCAAGCTCTTTATGTTTTCGAATGTAATCACAGTTTATGTACGGAGCGTTTTAAAGATTCGTTTATTGTTTATCTTTGTATTTTCGTAGGAGAACATATTAATGAGACGGCCAATTTGAAGTTGAAATGCAGCTCGGACTTGGGAAGCGTCGTTTTATCCCAAAGCGGATCACTATTCGTCACGTATCTTAATGTAAAAAATAATATGTGATATGTTACTCTTCCAGTCGGGATAATAATGCGTAAATGCACCAATGAAAAAGGAACAAGTCCGGGTACATCGTCATTATTTTCACGAGACCGTTGTCATCGGATTACGACTCAACCACCTCGCGGCAGTACTCATTTATTCCACCGAGGTCGCGAGAATTCAAAAAGATTTAACGTCGCATTACATTTAATTCTCTAACGCGTATATAGCCTGCGCGATATAAATTATATCTTAAAGTCGACTTTAACGTTAAAGGGACTTTACATTTTTCGCAGATCCGGCTCTAAATCTGCCGAACGGAGCGCGTAACTCGCAAAATTAATGCGATCCGAAGGAATTATTAAACCGAGTCCCTGCTTCTTGCACGAAAGCACGAGATGGTAGTAGCGATGTTCCTCGAATCGATACACTCCCCTCCTCCTTTATCGAAAGCAAGAGGCTCGAGATCCATTTAAGTCGCCTCAATTTTCATGCAAGAGCATTAATCTTTGGCTGACCGCTAATCGGCTTTTATATAAACTCACGTACTTTGTACCGTGCACGTGACATGAAATTGGTCGAATCCCGGGGGTTGTAATGTTTGCTCGATCTTGCCTGTTTTAGAGATTGCAATGGTCCAGTACCGAGGCACATCGCGAGCTTTGCTACTTGAAAGGGCGCAACAACGACGAGTGCCAGAACTATGTGCGGGTGTTCGGCAGACAAGGTCCCGATCGCTTTCTCGTTTGCGGCACAAACGCCTACAAGCCGCTCTGCAGACAATTCACGATCAAGGTAAGCTTATAAGTCCCAAAGCACACGAGATAACTCTTAATTGCGAGTCGAAACTTCAAAGAGTAAATCTAGACAAGTTTTCAAGAGGGCAATGTAATTTCATGTTCTGTTGCCTGTACATCGTAAAGTTTTCCCATATGAGACTTTATCTATTTTCGAAAATGATCTTTGAAAGTTGGACGATCCGGTATATCGGTGTCACAGCTTCATTTCCAATAACATTTGATTATGTCGCATAAATCGCATAAATCGCAATCGGATACATTGCGATAGCAAGTATCAAAATGCATATGAAAAAAAATTTATATTTTATTTGAGAAATAATAGAAAATTATTGACATTATGAATTGAGTAAATATTTGATAAAATGTAAAGATAAATTTTGTTAAAAAAAAAAAATATGTTTTGATTATATTCTGACAGGCGTTATTGAAATGAATAGATCGATTTGTATGCATATAAGAGGAAGAGTATAGCATTATTGAAAAATTATACAAGCTTAAAATATAGTATAACAGATATTAGTAATTTGTTAAATTCTAAATTTATTTTTATTAACTTTTATTAAATTATATTTTTTAAAAAATGATGTATATTCCTAAAAAGGTTTATATTATTTTATGTCTATACTTTTTTCTTTAACGATTATATAAAATTTCTGTATTATACGGAATATTTTGCAGAATATTTACGTTTCATTGACAATAAAACGGTTTTCATTTTCTTTCGTTTGTCACAAATAAAAAAGAATAAAATCTGAGTAGTCTGTATTAAATGTAAAGAGTTTACTTTATTTTATATTTTGTGCTTTAGATTTAACTGTTGACATGCAATTAACGGTCTCTGTACTTTTCGATGTCCGACACTCTTTCGCTTGTCGGCGTATTGTATCGAGAAAAATACGAAGCGCGTATAACGTATCGTATAAAATCAAGCGATATCGCGAACGAGTCGGCTAATGTGTAGAAGAGAACGAGCGATTGACTTCGACAGGTAATTTTCTCGGAGGGATTCGAAAACGTATCTCGGAATTTAACCGCGCAATTGGTAAACCACATTTAACCCTTCGTGTTTGTAGAATATATACGAGAATGAGACGCCCCAGGGTTACCGCAATGGCATCGTTATATCCGTAACGGTATTGCTAACATTTCCTGAAAGTTTCATGCAATTCCGGCGCATGGCTTTCAAATTACATAACGTTTTCGTCGTGCATACGTGCTGGACCCGGAAACCTTTATATCGAGTTACAAAACATCGTAACGTGGCAGTTACGTAACTAATAGTTGTGTTTCAAGAAATGATACTTTATTTCGCGGTCAGTTAAGTTCGGTAGATATTGCGAAATGTACAGTTAAGTAATAACTAATCTTTGCACAGTTTATAACACGTTTTAAAGAGAAAAGAGAGAGAGAGAGAGAGAGAGAGAGAGAGAGAGAGAGAGAGAGAGAGAGAAGAGAGTAATAAGTA